TACCTTTTATAATACTGATCCCTTTTTTTGAGTTTATATCAGATTAATCTTATATGATTATTATTAAAAATAAAACATGACTATGATCTAAAGTTATGCGTCATAGTCACAAATTATGAATTATGAGTTAATGTAGCTTTATAATAAATATAATGAAAAAAAAAAAAACATATAAAATAATCAACAGAGGCATCTAGTAATGTGTTCGCTCTGATCTAGGCTAACACAGATTACACTAAAAGCTGATGGTAGTCAATAAAAAGACAAGAGAGCTTTACATGGGGTTCCATTTTCTGTCAAAAACTAAAGAGATATAATATATTTAGGTGTTGGTTAATGTTGTTGCTATGTGTCTTTGCTTGATGTCTCTGGTCTTGGTGTTTTTTATCCTGTGCTTTTGTTGCATATGCGTTTTCTGCACATGTAGATCTTGCCCATTATGGGGTGTTCTTTTTCTGTCAAAGATTTTTGATATAATATTTGAAGATGTTGTTTATTTTGTTCATAAAAACTGAAATAAATTGATTTAAATTGCTTTTTTAGCCAAAGAAATAACTATACAAAAATTATTACTGGGTTTTAGTTTAGATATTGTTAAGATGATTGCCATCTAAGTACAAAGTGGATATATTTTCTGTGGGTCATCTTTCCTTCTCTCCCACACTTTCTCTGCATCTGTAGTTCCATTCACCATAGGCACAACAAAAAAAAAGTACAAGTAAGGGCAAAACAAAAAATATGCATTCATTAAAATACAAATATAACCTTAGAAATAGTTTCTGTTGTAAAGAAAACTTTAGCAGGTCTGTATCCCACCCCTCAGTTTTTGTAAAACTGTAAATATTGACGGTCAAAGCTGCTTTGGTCTGCACTTTTCTTTATATCACAGCTGTAATCTCTGCTGTGGGTGTGCAGTTAATGTATGTATTTCATACTGTGACTCATAACAAGAGAGGAGTGAGAGTTTAAGCTGCTGGAACGGCTTTAAGCCTACCCCCAAAAGGTAAAACAAACACACTGAAGTTATTCAGATGATTAATGGTTACAGACCTGTTATACCAGGGTGTATGTGGGCCCTGGTACAGTGAGTAAACAGAAGGTGACTGGTTTTAATGCTGGGAAATACACTTGTTTTTTTCCTTCATTATGAAACAGAACTTGAGTACAGTGAAAAACCCCAAAGCACCTGTGTAACTGTCCCCGACTACAGGTTCTGATAACTGTCTGCTAAGATTTATATTCTACTCATTTAGGAAATCTTAAAGAGTTCAGAAGGTTGTTAGTTTTACTTCAAGGTTTGAAAAGCAGACACTGAACACGGTTCAGTTGTTCTGACATTTTATGGGCGTCAAATTGTGACCTTTCAAAGATCCACATCCCCTCCTTTGAGAGGTGGGCTCGCATAAAACGACTGGAACCCAAATATGAGCCACAGGGGCTTTCATTTTATTTTTAGGAACTTTTTATTTTTATTTTCATCCGTTGAAGTCGTTTTTCACAAATCATGTGCACAGCGACGTTTGTTGAGTGGGATTTTTTGCAAAGATTGATGTAGCGATAAATACTGACCTCAAACCTCACATTTCCCCCCCAGGGGAGCAGGCTATGAATCACAAAGTGCTGTAAAACAGACAAGCTGAAGTGCTAAAAGTGTGATGAACTTGTAGGTTAAGTTACTGCAGCACGTGTTAGTCATATATGGAACATAAAGTACAGTTGTTATCTTGGTGCTTGTTCAACAGCTATAATTTATATGTCAAAAGAAATGTGAAAAAAATAAATCAGTGTAAATAAAATAATAAGCTATTGAAAATGGAAGAAAAAAATAAATCTGTATTTGAAAATAATTCTACTTAAAATCATTGTAGTAACAAAACAGGCTTTACTCCTAACGGTTGGTGTATAAAAAGGGTTGTTATTTAAGATGTATTGTAAAAGAACCTTCAGACCTTCATTAACATATTGTTGCAAAACACATTGATAGAACTGGTTTCTTAAATTTGAAATGTGCAGCATTAAAAACCAGAAGTGAAATAATCAAATTTATTATATTCTGACAAGAGAAAGGTGATTGCTGATTGGTGTTTCTTTACTCTTCTGTTTTTAAGGAAATTAATATGAATATCTATATTTAACAAAATTTAAAAGAATAACATTTTTCTGTATAAAAAATACAACTTATGCATTTAACTGCAAGGCCTTTGAACACACTCACTCCATTACACTCCATCGGTGGATAACAGACATGTTGACGTTCCTTTAAAGTTTAATAGATTGTTTGTAGGAATCAGTTAAATGAAAGGGGAGAATAAAATCTGGTCAAATGAGAACCAGAGGGAACCATTTCCAGAAGATGTTTGAAGGAATAATGGCACCTCACCTCACAAACACCACACCATCAGTGAGGTTTGGAAGTGATGTCATTGTGGTGTGCTTCAGCATAGTGACAGACTTCATGTAACTGGGTTTAGGATTAATGGAGAAATGCAGCAGGATCAGTTCTATTAACAGCCAGAAGATTAAATAAAAATAAATGGATGTCTAATTTTAGCTTAAGAAACGTGGGTTGTAGAGAAATAAAACAAAGCTGCAACAATTGATGACTTAATTGTAAATGAACATTTTGCATGAAAATAAAAGTATGTTAAACTGGACTACAGATAATTAGAAGTTTGAAGAGTTTATGTGGAAAACTGTCACTATCACTGCTTCTGCATTCAACTACAGTGCTTTAAGACAATTTATTTTAGATTTTTTCTTTTTTTAACTAGTTGTTAAACATGGTTATGATCATCACACAGTTTCAATATCAGGCCAGATAATATGAGAAAGAACTAATTGTAGCTTTAAAATGTATTTAGGTGATAAATATTCAATCAGGGAAAAAAGGAATTACTGCCTAAACCCAATAGCTTTTTATTTCATTGTTATTGACAACAACAGCCATCAAAAGTATTTACATTAGCTAGTAATGAGTGTTTAACATCACTGAAGCAATTCAGACCAATTTTTCTTCATAGAAATGTTTCACATTGAGAACAATGGAGGGTTATTTAATATCAGACTTTGATTAGACACTTTCTGCCACGCAGAGGTGGTTTTACTGGTGTGCCATAAGATCACTGTGGCTGTTGAATGACACAAGTGGGCTTAAGCATAAGGTCAGAGTAATGTCATTAGATTTGCCCTCAAACTAAACATCAGAACCAACAGTTGCATCAATAAGAGCAAGTGCTCCAAGTTCTAGATTATCAGCAGAGCCCTAACCCATCACATTAATACCGTTGTATTTTCATTTATTTATTTCTTTTGAGCAAAAAAGGAAATATAAAGGCAAAATGAAACCAAAGAAAAGTTCTGTTTTTGCTTCATTGATCCTCTGAATATATTTGTTTTAACAGTCTCAGGTATTGTAAAGTTGTTTTGTGAGGTAAGTAAGTGCAGCCTTTTTCCATTCTGCATCTTAGCCCTTGGAGCTTACCTCTAAGTTAAGTAAACACTGACCTTAAAAGTACAGTGAAGGATGTTCTTTTTCTGTATGGATTATTAAAATAAGTGGTCCTCCTATTTGTCAATCATTCTCTTGATATGTTTACGTAAGGCCGCACTATGTACTCGTCGCCATTTTCACTTACCAGTGGTGAGTCTGACATAGTGGAAAAATTGCAAATCTTCTTTCGGGAAGTAAGCTTGTATGAGTGATGCAAACTGCAACTTTTAAACAGAGCGTGCACGAGGAGAAATGGGCTCGTGCATACTTTCGCACATGTTTAATAGGTGTTCTCTCTCCCGGGTACAGGGTGGTGCATGTGCATTTTTTATTTTTTAAGTGGAGAGGGTGGCTCTTTTTAAAAAGCCTACAAGTACTACATGTTTTGTTGGTTTGCGGCCTTCTGGATGTGTCATTTATGTACCGTTTACATGGACGTTTGCTGTGAATTATCTTTCTAATTGGTACATTAGAGTCCCAAATAGATCTCTCACTTTATTTCACATCTCTTTTTAAATATTTTTAGATCAGAGCATTGAAATTATAATTTTTGAAACCCATATTAGCCTTTTTGCCAGTGTTATTTTCTAAACACATTTATCCAGGTAATTTCCCTTTCCCAAGGCCTCAAGAGAGTAAGGTATAAGGAAACATGGCCGGTCGGTTCTGATGGGGCGATTTCTTAATTCTAGAGGGCTGACTTAAAGCGGGCCATTATCGAAATGGAAGTAATCTTTACAAAAAAACAAAACACTGGACTATGTGGTTTTAAATTCCTTTCTTTATGGGGGAATCGTTTTGTTTACTGCACTTTATTTTCTCCACGAGAAATCCTAAAGTGTTTCAGAAATGTCATCTTATCACACATAACTTGAGCTACAAACCAATTTGATTTCTTTTAAAGCGTCAATTTCTCAGATTATTGAAAACCTACTAACCTCATGTTGATTCTTCCTTTAGAAACATATGTACCAAGGAAATTTTTATTTATTTTCCCCCCAGTGAGTAAATATTTTGGAGTTATGTCACATGTGAAATCAGGTGTCATTTTGTTCTCCATGACACAGAGTATTTCTACTTGTTGGCTCTCCCCCACTGGGACTTCCTACTGTTCCTGACAGAGCTGAACTCAAATGATTCATGACACCAGCATGAACCATGGGGGGAATGACTTATCCTATTTATGAGAACCCCAAAAGCAGACCAGGGAAATGTCTCATCTGTTCAGAAGCTTATTGAACCTTACTGAAAACTTATCAATATCTTCCCAAATATTTCCATCCTTCCACCTTTTCAATAACAAACTCTATGAATTCACTTTACACCCAAAGTATAAAAAAAAAAAATCCACTGCAGATCAACTACTGACGCAACTTCTCTCCCGTCACTACAGTAATCAGACGCTCCGTGGGTAAATTGTCTCCCTCTTGCACACCAATGCATGCGTTTGCTCACAAACCACTGTTTCTGTACACCTCACTTTCCGTTTCTCTTCAGGAAGCTCTCGCTTTGTTCAACAGCCCTCAGCTCTCTTTGTTATGCAAATGACGACTGTGCCGTTGCCTAGTACCTCTGCTTTCCAGCCCAGTGGAAAAATGTGTGTAATTGTAAATGTCATCTGTCTATATCTCTCAGTGGGGGGTCACAATCAAACCATTTTCAGTTGGAGATTAGAGAGGTTCAGAAGCTGAGAGGAGAATTTCAATGTTTGCTGCGATGACACCAGGTTCAAATCACACACTGGCATTCACAAGGACAGGTATGTGTCCCCTTTACTGGGAACTACTTTACTCTGACACCATGTGGACTTTCTGGTAATATTTATTCTTTTTCAGGATTTGAAAGGAATTGCTGTGGACTGTGCCAACATCAGAAATCCAGATCTGAAAATATTTGCTATTTTTCACATTCAAGACCAAGGGAGGAAAATCATACAAAGTCTCCTGGCTTTAGGACACGTGTGAAGTTTTGCTTCAAGGTAAGAAAAATGTTTTAATTTCCATCAGCGAGATAAAACAGGAGCAGCTGTTTGTGTTTGATTTTGGATATCTAATTCTGGATATGCTAATTAAAAAAAGTCCTATATTTAAACAGTAAGCAAATTTTGTGCTGGAAAATGCAGCAGGTTTATTTTTCCCATAGCACTATCTTTAAAAAAGAGATACAACCAGAACTCTGTACTGCCTTTAGAGTCTGAGTGACGCCTCCTGGAAAATAAGCAAATTAGACTGTTAAAATACCGACTCGCTCTTGGCTGTCAGGAATAAATGCTGCTTGTGTTCACTGGACGCTCGTGTTGTTTTGATCAGGACAGGTTGAGGATGGAGCAGAGGGAGAGGATTGGGGATCCAGCCGCTGAAGTTGCAGAGGGGAAGCTCAAGGATTTGGCCTCCAAGTGGTTCATAGACACCCAGCTGCCTCTTATTGTCAACAACGGACTCTTCCCTAACTGGTTCCTGGGCTTCATCAGCAGAAGGTAAGAGTTTACTGCAGATGTCACACTACTATGCATATTTTATGCCGACATTTTATGTAAAATTATGGTATCTTATCCTTTAAATTGTCTTTGTCTTTGCATAGATTTAAAAATGTATATATTAGTTATATACATCTAACTAAATGTATTAAAGCTACAGAAAATGTATCAAACTGTTTCTTTGAACTCGTTACTCTATGGGATGATTCAGCACAGCTATTGTCATGTGAAGGATAATAATAGCCGAGGGAAAGTTCATGTTTGGGTATATATCTTAGTTTGCTTGAAATGTTTTTATATTGTAAAAAAAAAATTGATCGTAGTTTAAGCGAAGCCACAGACATTTTATCTCTGATGGAAAGTGTCCACTTTACAGTACGCCCACGCTCACCTTCTGCCCTTTCCTCTAACAGACACCAAACTCCTACATAAAAATATGAGACAGTCAGTTACCCAACAAACAGACAGCGTCGGCTATTTCAAAAGGGCATGTTGCGAAATGGGTTTTTCCTTTAAGACACAATAAGTTGCAAAGTGGAATGTTGTACAACTGCTTTATTTTGCTAGTAAAAAAGGATTTTTTTTTTATCAAAGAAATTGGGTTGCAAATAGGCTTGATGTTTTCAGAAGGTCTGTTTTTCACGCTGTTCTTGTTTTGTCTACAGAGATGCTGAGGACATGCTCAGAGAAAAGGAGTTTGGCTGTTTCCTAATCCGACTCAGTGATAAAGCTATCGGCTATATTCTTTCTTACAAGTGAGTATTTGTTTACTAAAAGAAGCGGGTCTATTTCTTATTTTAAGCAAATTTTTTCATTAGTTCCTTATTAGTTAATACGGTTCCTTGGAATGTCTTAAAATTAAAAATAAGAAGATTCAATTAAATATAATTTTAGTTGGCATTCCCTCTAAGCTTTTAGTTTTTGGTAGACTAGACAAGCTTATCCTTATAGTAGATAATCTGACTTTAAATGTCCCAAACTATATATATATTTGATCTTTGTTAAAATAAAGTTAAAATATATATCATTGTTGCAACACTTACTAAAAACTAACCTGTTTTTTCCTTCTCAGAGGCAGAGATCGATGTCGACACTTTGTAATAAGCCAGAGTGAGTCGGGACAGTTTGCAGTCTGCGGAGACACGGAGGGACACAACACTATGTTTGATCTAATAGAACACTATAAAACAAAACCCATCGAGCCCTTTGGAGAGTACCTGACGTCTCCGTGCTTTGGGGTGAGCGCTCAATCATTTTCTGTTTTTATTTTGTGAAGAGGATGTATGATTATTGACCTAACAAATGTTTTTGTGTTTGGCAGGATCTCAGTGAGGACCTCTACGACACCATCAAGGTTGCCCCCAAAGAAAAACCAGAGGCTCCTCTTCGACCGGTGAAGAAAGTACATAAGCAACAGATTAACCCGGTTCCAGAGCATCATCCAATGCCGGTTCCAAGGAGCAACAGAACTCAAGAGGTGAGTCCAAGAAATTAATACAATTTTAAATAGATATATTCAATAAATTAAAATATGCGCTCCATATGAATTCATGTCTGTGCAGTTAAAGATGAAACTCTACTAATTCTTTTTGTATATCATCTGTTCTCTAGAGTTAAATTGATTCTATTCTGTTTTAAATATTTCATATGTGTGATTCCTCATGGCCAACATTAAAAACGCCTGTCTTGTTTTCCCATAAATAGGAAGGACCACCTTTGCCACGAAGGACCAGACCTGTTGAGAGCAACTCAGTCAGTGACAATGATGGGGTTCTGTATGCTCAGCTTAGGAAGCAAACACCCAGGGACGCACCTAGAGCCCGCCAACCCACCAAGGACAGGTCTCCAGGCAAAGCCGGGAGGCTGACTTCCAAGGAAAACAACAATGGGAGGAGTAGTCCTCCATCAGACCCTGAATCTGTCTACTCTGAGCTCAGTATGCTCGATAGCAAGAGCAAGTCACTGCCTCTACTAGACAACAGCTCTGACAGCGAGCTGTGCTACAGACTGAGCGTTCCTCCTGACACACCACCAAGACTTTCCCCTAGGCCAGTCAGGCCGGCCTCCAGCAGCATCTCTCAGTCTAATAGCAGTCACAGCTTGGACGACCAGAGCGATCATTCCATCTATCACCTGGCTGGCGGCCATAGCCCAACGCCCTCCGAAAATGCATCATCCACAGAGCACCTCAGTGACTCCCTGTACGCTGAAGTGTCAATCGAAGGCCCTGTCATCGATAACGACGGCACATATGAGATCCTCCCCGACCACAAGGAGCCTGCTAAGCCCAAAGCCAGCAGCAACACTTATGACCCTGAGGAGACAAAACGCAAATCTAACACTGGATCCTGGGGGATAAAGGTCAGTGACTAACTTTTATTTTGGTACTACTAACACATTTTTTTTATTTCATTTTTCATGTAATAATATGTTATATGTTAATTTTTTTGCAGAATGACAAATGGAAATGGCTCTTCCCTGAGATGAAGAAGAAATAAGAAACCACCTAAGAAAAGAAAATGTTTACCTAATTTCTTTTGTTTAACACTACTTTGCTACATGTGTTTTTTTTTTCACTTTCAATGTACATATTTATTTAAAATGGAACCCTCGTCCATCTAACTAAATGTATTAAAGCTACAAAAAAATGAATCAAACTGTTTCTCTGAACTCATTACCCTATGAGATGATTCAGCACAGCTATTGTCATGTGAAGAATAATAATAGCCGAGGGGAAGTTCATGTTTGGGCATAAAACTGTGGAGGAACAACAAAATCATCTTACAATGGAAATGTTTTTTAATCTGCGTAAAAAGAAAGAGAAATCAGATATTTTTCAGGGGAGAACGAATTGGTCCCCCTTCAGTCCAGATTCATGTGTCACTTTTAGTCATTTGAAGTAAGGAAATAATTAGTCAGGGTTAATGATAGAGAACTACGTCTTCCTAATAAGGTAACGCAAATACAAAACGTGGCTCTGATGGGGAACAGCAAAAACATTTCTATGTGCGGATATATTAAAATGCAAATAACTGCTAAATCAGTCACAAAGGAGAAATACTTCTCTGTTTATCAAAACTCCTGCTGTTTGTGGCTTTCTCTTCCCATTGGCAATACAACCCTGTACTCTCCATAACTCACCAGTGGAGCTTTCAAAACATGAGTTCATGCAAGCGCATTCGAACGCACTGCAGGGTAAAATTCGATAAAAGGCTTGCAGCTGACATTTAAGGACGTTTTTGCTGCCACCGGCGCTGTGTGTGTGTTTTTCACAGGAAACTTATTTGCATAAAGTTTTAAAAAAGGCCTCATTCAGCAGAAATTAGGAAATAAGCTGAAGGTGCCAAAGTTTCTTTTATTATCGGAATATTTTTTATTCTCCTAACTGCAAATTTGGTAAGATCATATAATCTACAATAAAGCAGATAATCCCGGCCCATGCATCAGAGTGGATATGGTTGCATCGTTGCATTTAGAAAATAAGTTTTAAGAAATTAGAATGAAAGGTGTTTCCCCTTTAAGTCTTATAAGGTGAATCAGAAAAACTGCTTAAATGTCAGTCATCCAGTTTTTGTGACCTTTCTGCTACCTGCTATTTTAAAAGCTAAGATCTGCACGCTAAACTATCACTGTAAAACATTAACTTAAGGTAAAGGATGTAATTATTACACCACAATGTTTTGGTTGTGCAAAAGTGGAAAACAAGCTTCTAAATGTGTAAAGATGCAATGGATATTTATTGCATAAGTTCTTCATTGAGCAATACTGGAATCTATGATGAAATGCATTCAATCTACTGCAGATACGCATTTAAAACAAAGAAAAGATTAAAACATATTCAAGAGCCCTCAGAATTTAATACTGCATGTTTACATTTAATTTCACTCTCTTTATATCCCTCTATTGTGGTTCCAGGTTTATGTTTATGGTTGTGGTTCTACAGAGAGGTGAACCTCCGCACTAATCCAAGGTCTTTTGCAGCATCTAAAAATTTTAATCTTAAAGTTTCACTGTAAGTCAGAAAGTTCAGTATTTTTTTTTTTTCATAAAAATCTTATGTGTGAAGGGTATAGCTAACAGTTGCCCTGTCTTCAGATTTCCCCAGCCTCATTTTGCACTGGGATTTTAAGAAGGCACCAGAGTTAAGGAGCTGAATACAAACCTTTTTGAAATTAACTGCTAAAATGTAACAAGCCATAAATAAATTGCTTTCCATTTTAATATTGTGTTTTTTTTTATTTTTGATTGTCAAAACTAAAATTAAATAATAAAAAATCTAATCTGTGAGTATTGCATGACAAAATATAAAAAAGGCTCAAGGGGTGTTACAGTAGTTCATGGAATTTTTTTAGCAATAGCTTTTTAAAATGGCACCAGTTAGACACTCATAGATAATATTCAATCAAATCAAAAATCCTTTTGGATTTAGTGTCAGAAATATTTTACACCTCCAGTAGCATCTTTTAAATGATCAAATCGTTCCACTAAGACTAGTTATTAGTGGAATCCCACAATCTACATCAAATATAACCTTTGAATTTGTGTGATATTTTGTTTTTCAAAAGCAGTTGTGCGCCTGGACTTCCTCACTGTTGCCCAGATTATTTCATATGATCATTATAAAAGCCATTTGAGACACGTACGGGAGTGATATTTAGTGCCTGGTAAAAAGATTGAATAATTTTTAAGGCAATCAAACAAATTACTGTCTTTCTTTAAAATTAAATTTCTATGCATGTTCTAAGGCTTCAAAGACTTGGACATGTCTTGTTATAAATATCGCATGGATATTAATCTAGAAACAAAGTGAGCTCACTGCACGGAGTCAATGCAGAAAGCTGTACTCCGTGCATATAATCATGGCAAACATTATTAGACCACCTTTTTTTTTATTCTGTCATGTTCATTGTTTCCATTGGGTAATAAATTCCATGCAAATGATGCAAATCTGTACCCTACACTTCAGAAACCAGCACTGAGTAACTTGGCGTTATCAAATCATTCTATGCATTTCCTTTTGATTTCTGATTAGATTGCCTATGTGTGAATAGTTAAAACATTTGCTTAAGAACTGGAGAGCGCACCTGGAGTAGTGAACCCAGGGACCCCACACTCCGAAATAAAGCACTGTTACTCGCCTAAGGCCCGCCTGGTTGAGTGGAATAGACAAGATGAACCAGCAAGCAGATGGATGCTCCTCTTATTTGATGCAGTGGTGATGCAAGCAGGGCGACATTTTGTGGTGTTATCATTGCACATTGTTTGCATGAGAAGGGCAAAATGTCAAGCAACCACCAGCAAGCAAACAAAGGGGGATATTTACCTTGTTTGGGTTCGTTGTGAATTCACACTTCAGCTTTGGAGCTGCAGTAATCATTAGCACAAAAATAGATGGAATGGATTCTAAGACCAAACTCCTATAAAAATGACGTCAAAGATCCATCTCACATATTTCAAAACTTTAGGACTGAAAAAAATATATATTCTGTGGTTTGAAAACATAAAGTAAAACCTTTTTGATGGTGTACATTGGCATAAAACTCAGACAACATTTTAGGAAAAGAATATCACATCTGCACTCAAATGTGATAGCGGCGGTGTTTTGGTCGGGAGCTAATAGCAGTACTTTTGGAAATGGATGACTACAAGCATAACTGACTGAATTCTGAATTTTGCCTTCTGTAAGAAATTTTTGAAGATGAATGTCCAGATAAAACTGTGCGAACTTTTAAAAAAAATAGTCTTAATCTGCAAGACGGGAATCTAAAAAACACATCAGTAAGCCAGCTCTTAATGACCCAAAAACATAGAATATAGAAAAGTGTCGGTTTCAGAGGGAGCTTTTCAAAGACTTTGGTATGACCCTAAATGTTTCCAAGCTTGAAAATCCTCCAATGTAGCAGTATTGTATAGTCTTGAATAAGCTAAAATTCCTCTACAAATATAAAAAAAAGAGCTTCCAGTCATAATATAAGAAAAAAATTACTTTATTGTCAAGTACAAAGCAACGAAATTCACTCTCTGAATTTAACCCATCCCCTGGGGCAGCAGTGGGCTGCCATTGTGTGGCACCTCAGGAGCAGTGTGGGGTTAAGGGTCTTGCTCAGGCATCCAGAGTGAGGCAGTGGGGATCGAACTGGGTACTTGCAACCTTGTTAGAACACAAGTGCACTGCTCTAACCACTAGTCCAACACTCCCATATAAACTTGATTACTGTTGTTGCAGCCAAGGGGGGCACAACAAATCATTACGTTTAGAAGTTTCAGATATATGTTGTTGTTTTTGCTCTGTTAAAAAAGGAAATCATGATTGAAAACTGCCTGTTATCTTTGCTTAATATAAAAATGTTTAATCATTGGAAATATTTAAGTGAGAAAAAAAAAACTATTTGGAAAAATTTATTCTCACAGCTTATTACAACATTCTGCATGCAATGGTCTATTTAAATACTGATTTCCTTGCGCTTTGATCGCCATGTGTGGGTGGGTATAGAGGAAACGATTATATCACCTGCTTAAAGTTGCAGCTGTGGGTAATTATTTGAAATACGTTCTGCATTATCGAACATTATGTATCCTTGCTTTTAAGGATCTTCTTTTTTATTTTAAAATTGTAATAGAAAAATGTGGTCACAGAAAGAAAAGAAACAAACAAATTTAAATTTAATTAGACATAACACCAAATATGCGTGCATTCAAAGAAAGACAAATATCTGAGTTTTTAAGACTTTCTTTATATCCCAAAACCTGATAAAAATTAATCTCTCATGTTATCTGTTAAAAAAAGAGGATAAAACCCACGAAAACTAGTTTCCATGGCTTTGAAACTGACTTAAAAGCGAACTACTGTAGAAGCTCATTTAGAATAACAACAGGTAGCACATATTGTTTTCTTTCATTTTAAACTGTCCATACTTTTATTATATATAGTACTTTTTACACATATATGAAGGCTTCAAACATTTATGACATGTAAAAATTCAGATTAGAGCACAGTTATATACTTTTGTATTCTTTAATAGTGAAAATCAAATCTTTTTATACCAGTTTTATGACTTTATATTTTAAAATGTAAAATAAACCATGCATAACTTTTACATTTTTGTTGAGTAGAAAGTAGAAAAGCACAGGTAAATTCCAATGATTGACAGTATTAAAAACAAAACTATTTTGGTGATTAATTACTAATCTTGTGAATCATAGCCCCAAGCTCTTTCACATGTCTTTATACATTTTTTAACAAATTTTTAATTTCATTCAAATGTTAACTAATACATTTGAGTTTTTTGGACAGGTAGAGCTCGATGTCATCTGAGTAGAATCAAAATTTAATATCATGCCGGCAGAAATTTTTAAAAAGAAGAGGTTTAAGACCACAACCTTGGGGTACACTGAAAGACAGAGAGATGGAAGTTAATTACGTTAAACCATCTGAGCCATATAGATAGGATGTGAAGCAGTGGGCGTTGTATGCTTATCCAAATCTTTAGAATGTTTTTTTATGAAAAATTTCATGTGATAAGAGGAACTGATCATCGATTGAACGCCATCTTTCTCTTCAATCTATCTTTTGTAAACCACTTTTAGATCAGATTTTGTTATATGCCTCATACTACAGTATCTGCCTAAAATGTTAAATGAATAAGAATCAGAATCAAGTTTATTGCCAAGTAGGTTTGCACTTACAAGCAATTTGACTTGGTGTTGATGCTGCAGACAAAATAGATATTCAGAGAAATAGAAGCACAACACAGAGCTAAGCCAGACTCACAATAGACATTTGTTCAAATTCTTTACACATTCCTCCTTTGTTTTATTTTATATATTTATTTTTTCTGTACAGCCCTTTGGTGAGCTGTGATTGTTTTTAAGTGCTTAACAAATAAAATAGGATAGGATTGGATGTCTGTCTGCTTTATAGCTAATATTTCTGTTTTGAAAATATTTTCTAAATGTTAATTAATATGTAAAATTATTTTTTACAGAAGCTCATTTTGATTTTCTTAATAAATTTTAAGTCATAACCATGAAAATTAACAAAAAATAATGAAATATATATCATGGTGGTTGCAACATGCATACAGTCATATTCAATAAATATTATGTTACTGAAAAGTAAAAACATTTCACATATTCTGTTAACTAAGTAAAATACATAATTAAATACAATCTTACTTTTGCGCTCTTCTTTATGTTGCATAATATACTAATTACAACTAACAGAAACATGTGATAAGAAAACTCCATTAGACCAATAAAAAACATTTCTAACTTATAATTGTTGACTTCATGAGAAATATCTGTAATACTCGTGAAAGGTTATGATTTCCAAAAAGTACTTTCATCTGAAAAAAAAGCTTTATTCAATAATTTTTCATATATATTCATATTTATTTTATATTCCGGTACAAAATATAACTTTTGGATGTGCCTGTATCCTTTAACATAATTTAAACAAGTTTAGGACCTCAAATTATTTTGTGATCTTCCTTTTTATCTTCCTCTAAAATTGTTTTCTGTAGGTAAAGACCACATTGAATAGGGATGAATTTCTATTCAGATGGAGCCCAGTTTGGTCCTGTGGCAGGTCCATGCTCCAGTTCCCAAGTCCAGCGGTTGACATCAAAACTGTTAAACCATCTATCTCAGATACGGATATGAAAGGTGCTGGAAGGAAAAAAAAACATAAAAAAAAACACAGCATTAAGCTAGTGATAATTTCAACCAAATTATATGGAGGGTACAATAAAGCAACTCTAAAATATCTAAATTTGAAATTAAAATATTTATATTTAGATGTACCTTAAAAAATCTGGTGCCCTGGATATCATATTTTCAAAGTCAGCATAGGAGAGTTTGTTGTCTCCATCCAGATCTGCTTCCTCGATGGTTTTCTCGCACACCAACTCAACCTCCTCAGGAGTCAACTCCTCCTTAGTCAGCCTATTTAGAGTCTTCTCAAGGTCCTCCTTGCACAGGTAGTTATCCACATTGAAATCTAACATAAAAAATACATCTCAGTAAAAAGACACCATGAAATGTTATGAAACGTTTTTACATTTTGTTTTTTACCAGTTACCATATATCTTAAAGGCATATATGGCTTTAAGTTCTCTTGGAGCCATTTCACTGAGGACCGAGAACATATCCACAAATTCGTTGAAACTCAGGTTCCCCATCCCATCCTCAGAGAAGGACTCAACAATCCGATTGCGAAATGGATTTTCCTACACATCAGAAAAAACATTTGATATCATGCAAATAATGATGCAAAAAATATTTTTATTCATATGAGCAGAAGTTAGTTAATGAATATTTTGACAGAACGAAAGATTGATTAAAATATATATATATATATATATATATATATATATATATATATATGTCAGCAATGGGTGGCAAGGTTGCTTAAGGACCCAGATGCAGAGCCGAGTGAGGCAGAGATTAGTTCTGACAGGTTTAATTGAAGAACAAAGGAAACAGAGGTACAAATCCAGAAATCTAACTAAAATGTTTAACAAACCAAAAACAATGGAGACATCAGGGGGGAAAAACAAGCCTGAGGAGCCACGGGGAGATGAGCTGAGTAGACGAGTATAGCATAGAGAAGGAACCTGCACTGAGTGACTGCAGAGGTGGAGTATTTAAGGAGAACAGAACAAAGGATGGACTAATGAGCTGAATAAGGAGCAGGTGTGGGTGGAACTGGCAAGAGGGAATCCAAGGGGAAAGAAAACAAGCACAAGGGGGCAACAGAGAGTAACTAAAGAATGCTTGAATATCATGGAAAATAAAAACAAAACAACTGATAACAGAAAACTTAAAACTCAGAGTCACAACAAATTGGAAGAACCATAACAATATACATCTTTAAAAAGTTTTAAGTCTAGATATGCAACTTTATCTAGTGGAATTATTGGACTAATCAAAAAAGCCTGGTCAGAAAACAGTGTTTAATGAAGCAGGTAATTATTTTCCTATTGGCAGAACAACCTTGCAACCTGCTGCTTCTTTTTTTAACAAACTTAAACTCAAAAGTAAAGTAAGCTAAAGCCATAAAGTAACCAAACAGCTTCTTCTTACCTTTAACTCTGGCATGTCCACTATCAATGCTAAAGGCAGTTTACAGTCAGGTTCGTTGGTGTAATCCATTGGTACAAGATGTGGAGCCAATTCATGGTATCTGCTGTGTAGCCTGGGGCAGAATAAAGCAAAACAAATTTTAGGAACTATGATATTGTATGTGCATTATAGTATATACCGTATATCAGCCCCCCTGATTCAGCTACAACAGCTTCAACACTTCTGGGAATTCTGTTTCCCAGTTTTAGGAATAATGTGTGTATCGGTTATTTTGACTACTTTTAGAATCATATATTTGGGAAGAACGGCTGACACACAGTTTATACTCTAACTCATTTCTGTTGGGTTTTGTTCAAACTTCAAAGTAGATCAGTCAACTTTCTCCACACTAGTCTTCCCCGCCTCTGTCTGGATAGGTCCTGAGGCATCTCTCCCCTGTTTCTAAAGAGTTGAGAGCAGGAAATTGATCAAAATGTCTCAATATGTCCCTTCAGTTTGTTTAAGGGGAGTAAAATACCTGCTGAAGACATAATTCTCCTTGTAATTACTAAATTCATGCCCGTCCATTGCTTTAGCAGACAAAAAAGTATCTGTTAGCTCTCGGGTGTACACATCTCTACTGCCAGTGGAGGAGGAATTAAAGCACTGCATCTGACATATTGCATCACACGTGGTGACAAAGCTCTTCACCCACTGTCTTTGGGCAAATCTAAAGGCCACAAGAGGTTTTAGTGGTAAGCTGTTGCTGCAAACACAGCAGAACGATGAAAATCATCAGCCTCAGTATCTGCTGAGCCACTATAAAATTCTATATGGCATTTAATATTTTAATTGATTTGCTGTCATTTCTTAACTCTTTCACTTTGCATTAAAACGATTGCCTTCGACAATGGAACATTTAATAATAGGAACATTTCAGACTAATTTCAACTTGATTTATTGCACAGTTTGCATCCTGTCAATGTACAAACATTTACCACCCTGAGCTCTGAGAGCAACTAGTTCTTTAACAAATGCTTATTGAAGCAGTTTGGATTTCCGCAGGCCTGGTCTTTAGCCATAGATCGCCTGAGTTAATCGATTTGGATCATTACGTGAAACCCTTTGAACTGTGTAAAAAAATATGTTTACCTAATTTAAGTCAGAATGTCATAAAAATAAACAACTAAACCAAAATCAGGCTGTGAATTTCTGGGAATGTATGCCACACCTTTTACCCATTGCAGATGGAATTTTATTTATAAGGGAGAGTAGGCTATGCAAATCCTGTTTGTGTTATCGCTGTGCTATAAAAAGATTCTGCAGAAACCTGTTTAGTATCATTTAGATTAATTATTCTCTGTGTGGAGTTTAAGCCAATATGTGTAAAGCCTTTTTTAACTAAAGCCTTTGTTTTATCCAATTTATCATTTCCTCTTAAGATAAAAGGTGGCCCCTTGAATGTGACTAAGAACCTTTTTATTAAAAGTCATAAAACTGTGAGAGCCTTTCTTTTGCATATTACCACAATGTTCACCAAAACCCACCTCCTTTTTCTTCATTTATTTCTTTAAGATTTAGAAGTAATAAAAACATTTAAGCATGAGAATCATTGTATTCATGAAAAAAGAAATGCAGGCTGCTTTTGCGTGTCAGTCTGTTGGTGAGTGACACAAAGAGAGAGGTGATGTTTATTCACTGATTACACAAGTTGGTGAAAGGAGGAAGACCTTAGACCACTGTAAGTGACGCTTTGCATCACACTTGGTGACAAAGCTCTCTAAACACAGATCAATGATTTTTTTTTTTTTTTTAAGATTTATCTTTTAGATGCAATGAAAAACATATAAACACTCAGGTACCATCTCCTTGGACAACAACCTCTAAACTTTCATTGTGTCATTTTTCACTGCATTTTTCAGTAGTTTTTTATTTCTGTCCTGACTGCATCTCGCCTTGTGATGATAATCTCCCTTACATGTAATCATTTAAGAAACACTATTTAAAGCAGCCAACAAGGCATGGCCAGCGCTGAAGCTTTATATGGTAACAACCCTTTGCATGAGTTTTATGAGCTGAATTTAAACTGTAATTGAATTGAAATTAAAAAAACTGAAACTGAATTTAAACTGAAACAGAGATAAAAGATAATCTGGCTTGGGTTTATTTTGGGTCAAAGGAGGAGGAGTTTTAGGAACAGATCTTTCTTCAAAACAGAACAGATCTTTCTTCAAAAGTGGCAACAGACTACTATATCTAACACAGCAAACTATTTTATTTGGTTTGTCAGAGAAAAAAAATCAAATTTATTGGTTGAAAATAGTAAGAAAAGAAGACACAACATTTAAGCTATTGCCTTTCTTGTGGTCTACTTTAGTGATCTGTTTTAAAGTAGATCAGTAGTGGCTAAACCAATTCTAGGCTACTAAGGAAATTTCCTTTTGGTTATCCAAAGGTATTTCTGTCCCATTAAGGATGAATAGTCATTAATGTTGAATTCTGGGTTTCAAGGTCTCTAACACTTGGGATGTGTCCTATAAAACATCAAAGATAGGAGCCTGAGAGGTATCCTGATTTAGAGGCTGAACTACCAAACAAAGTATTTTCCATCTTATTCCAGCCTTTAAGCCCATATACCATAGGAATCAGTGAGCAGCTGGAGCAGAAATCAATAAATAACTTCTACTTACAGTGACAAGCAATAAACCTTTGGAAAAAATTGTTTATTAAATACTCCTATTTAGCAGGAAATGGTTTGCGTATGTTGAATATTTATGTAAACTTTAATATTTAACATGCAAGATTTAAAAAAAAGGTATTTTATAGTCAAAACAGGTGGTTGAATATTGAGTCTAATGACTTTCAGTAAAAGTACAAGTAATCAAAAGCAACAGATGCAACAAATATAAAAACATCTTACCGCAAAATTTCCTTGCGAGTGAAAAACGTGCAGTCCTGCAATAAAAGAAAACAGCAAATAAAAGCGATATATAATATATATATAAATATATATATATATATACCTGACATAAAATTAGAACCACTAACCAGTGAAATTAATAAAAGGAATCATAACTTATCATGTTATACTTATCTTAGTATAACTTACACTTTTTACAGCAGGTGAACATTGTGTCCGATAGTGGAGCTCTAGTGTTGCTTGCATGCAAAGCTCAGTATCAACAGAGCTTCAATAAAGGAACAGTGATAAACCAGCAACATGTTCATTGTTGCTGATTTGGACAGAGGAGGCGCACAGCTTGGTCATAACATTATGTCTTATTAGTGTAACAAGACTGAAGAAGTTTTGAATATAAAGTTTTCAATGTATCACGCTTCATTGGATGCTCAGGGACTCATCTGTTATACCTTAATAAATAGTTTCAAGGCTCCTTTAGCTTACTACAGAAAGCTACTCCAGGTGTTTGGTTTCTCTCAAGTAATGATAGCTGTGAGAGTTCATGCAGGAACATGATCCACTTGTCTAACACGCATGTGTTGGCACATAATATCTAACAGCCTGACAGGAGGTACCATGGCTTACATTCGCCTTTTATAATCAGCTGTCTATCCTGTGCTTGGTTGTGTGAGAAACATCGCCTGAACAGCTGCTGAAATCTTGTAACAAGATGTACTGTTGCTGTCTGGGATATACCGTAATAATGACTCTGTCCAACACCAGATGCTTTAGCTTTGTGATAAGATGTTTAGATAAATACCACTTATGCTCAGAAATACCTCTGAAGATGAAAAATACCAACAAATTGAAAGTGTGGTTTTCTAAGAGGAGCTTTTCAGGACCACGGTTGTAACCAGAGAGGTTCTAGAAAACTTAACTCAGACCTGAGAGTAGAGTTTCACAGCATATCACTGGCTTGGCATCAATTATTAATCCCACAGAAAATCACAAGGTGAACAGTTGCACTTGGAACTGTTTTTATTTATTTATTTATTTTTTATTAATACTTGCATTATTGGTTAATTGGGTTCAGAAAACAGAGAATTTAAGAGGCTTGTTCTGTTCTTCAATTCAAAGAAAATCAGTTAACTTTGCAAGGGAAGTTATATCAGGATAAATATAAATTTATATATCAACATCCTTTACAAGGCTTTTAATATCACAAATACACGAAGACAAATTATATCATTTAATTTATACATGCATATATAATTCCTAAGAAGGATAAAACCAGTGAAGATGATGAGCTCTAAAGATAGAGTTGTAAAGTTCCCTTTTGTAAAGCTATTTCTGTCATCTTTTGAGTATTTCTTTTTTTTTTTTTTTTTTTTTTTTAGAAATGCAGCGTTTAACCGTAAATTAAAAGCAAACATTTCATCTAATTACCACAAATCAGTGAACACAGATTGAGCTTGCTAAATTGCATTATTCAAATATAACACAAAATGCACCAAAACTGAAAACCAAAAGCAAATTACTAGAGCAACTTATTTTCTTACTTTCCTCTTACCATCCTCCACTATAATATAAACAAAGCAGACATGAATCTTACCTGATAGGCATCAAGTTGCTCATCGGTAAAGATTGTTTGCTTATTACCCATCTTTATCAAGTAATTTGTTGCTTGTACACTTTCAAAGCAAAGAACGTCCACCGCCTTTTCTCAAAGAAAGGCATTTATGGGGTTGGCGGAGTCAAAGTCTCTGCACAACTTGAGTTGAGTTTTGTTGCAAGGACTTAAGAAAGATTGTTGCTGATGTCCATTCAGGATATGCCTGCCATGAGAATAAATACTTGATGGAGAAAAAATGTCTAAAAGAAAGAAAAAAGATGAATGGATGTCCTGTCTCAGTCGAGCCAGAGCAGTGGACTTCATCTATGATCCTTGATGACAGCAAGGTGATCTGCATGTCCTTAAAAAGCTAGGCGGCCATTCCGTCAGAGAGGAAACAACCAATCAGAAAACCTACAGCCAGATTAATAAATAAACAGCTACTAGAACCTGCTGGTAATACAGTTGATATGACAGGTAAGAAGAGGCTCCTAGGTAATAACCGCTAATGTTAAATAGTATAGAAATAAGGAGATTGTTATGTATTGGATAGATCATCAATAGATAATCCATGTCATTATTTAGCCTAAAAAATCATCTAAAATATTTAAAGAGGATGCTTTTATTAATGAGCTCTAAATCTCTTGCAGTCATTTCAATTCAGAGCAAATGTTTGACACTATTTAAATTTCATACCTTGATAGGTAAAAATCCATTAGAATTAGAATTGTATCAAAAATTGAGTAAAGTAAAAAAAAAAAAAAAAATGCATAATTCATCTTAATATGAGATACTTAGTTCAACCTAATTGACCCAACTTCTGCTTGGCTGTTTCTTCCTTATTGTCTTATTATAAAAAAAAAATATTTTAAGGGTAAAATAATTATATTTTTAATGGTTACATGTTCTGGATTATTAGAGATTTAATAGCAATGTCTAAATCTATGAAAAAAGTTCATAGTCAGGGATGGTCAAAATGCTTTTCACTCACTTTACTATAAGTGGCAGTTTGTATTACAGTGAAATATGTTTTAATAATTTGCTTACACTAAAAAAAAAGTAAAAAAAAAAAAAAAAAAAAAGAAAGAACTAGCAACACTGAAATATTGATTTTTCACTTATATGATACAGGACCAGTTCTGTTGTCCTTATGATTGTCTAAGCTGTGACCAAAAAGACCATGGGCGGTTCTAGACAGGGGCCAACGGGGGCCAGTACCCCTGTAAATCATGTCCTGGCCCCTGTTATAGCCCCTGTACTGAAGAAATAATACTTAAAATGACGATATGTGCTGGAACAGACATGGTTACTGATAGGTCCTTTGGGTCTATTTCATTTTTTTTTCTTTACAAATGATTTTACAAATTATTTAAAAACAATAAGGTTATAGCTTCAGTGGTATTGAGATAGGTTCCCAGTTTTCATCTGCTAAATGTTTTTTTTCAAAACAAATAAAAAAAACACTCTAATTTTAACGGCTGAATTTAATAGTTTTTTTTTTTTAGTTCTAATTCAGATTTGATAGAAAATGGTAATTTTAAATTAAGTGAAAAATATGTAAAATTCCTAAATTATGAATGTATAAGAAATAGAACTTTTATTAAACCTAAATGAATAGAAATTGCACTTCATGCAGCTCTCTTAATATATTTGAATCTCTTGCCCTGTTTTTTATTTCATGCTTTTCTGCACCCCTATGCTGGCCCCCTCTTGGCCCCCTGGTACATTTGGTCTAGAACCGCCACTGAAATAAACACAGGTATATAGATATTGATAAAACAGACAGATTTCCATGAATAAAAAAATTGGCTTAAACAGTATTTTTAAAAGCATTTTTCAGTGATCATTTTAGCAGTTTAACAACAGTAATTATTAGAATCAGCTTCATAATCATCTGAGATGATTTTAAGAAACTTCAAATCTTATTAAAGAACCTGTTGCACTTAAAGGAAAGAAAAACTTTGATTTAAAGTCCCTGCTGCTCAATAATAATAATAATCCTGTCTCTCTAATCCACCTGTCTGTTATTACTGCACCAATGAACGCCTCCACATCCCACCTCTGGACAAATGATCATTTCACACTTCCTAAATAATTCCAGTTTTGCTTTACGCTGGTTCATCTGTCACCTTCCGTTACTTTTCTCTCCATTGTCCCTGTGAAAGTTGCCCAGCATGGACTGTAAGCGAGAAAAGGAGCAGGGTAAGTTATAACGGATAGCTTGTTGCTATGTAACCGCGATAGCCGCTAGCATCATGTGCTAACTGAAGCTAACTGTGTGTCTGGAGATAAAATGTAGCTAACGGCGTGTTTTTGTCTGCTGTCTATGACTTCGTTTAGCCAAGAAGAAATTGTCACTGTTGTTCTTTTATTGAAACACCCGCCATGTTTTTTTTTAAATGTATTTAATGATTATCATAATTTCTCCTAGCTGCTGCCATAGGAACGCCCATTCTGCTAGCCTGAATGTAGCTAGCATGTTTTGTTTAGCAAACCGTGAAAAAAAGTTATTTTTCTGATGTTTTTTTAAAAACACAAGACATGTGCGGTGCTCCCATGTTTCTTTCACTCAATATGTTTTTATATATCATTATAACTTTGTAATCCACCAATCTAAAAATTTGCAACTGAGCTAAATATTTGAAAAATAAACATCCTGATAATATAAATATAAGCAGACACTATCATCATTATATCTGGTTAAGTAAGTGAGGAGAATTCATGTGTAGGACTCACACTGCCTTAGGCACACTAAAGCAAATATAACTCCCTGAGCTGTTACTCATTGGAATTATAACATTACACAACAGTGAACACATCAGCACATCTGTCTGTTTGCTGTGACCCTTTCCTTTGCAGCTTTCAGGGAAAATGCTGTGTGTTGTCAGGGGGAAAAAAAAGAGCTGCTTGAATAAAAATTTTTTCCTCCACTATTACCAGAACAAACAGTGCTTCTAGCATTTTCTTATGCAGTGAGTCACGAATAAGAGATCTGTTGTTGCACTGCATGTTTAAGAACAGAAAGAGAATATGCTTTGTTTTATTTGGTTTTGTGATTCCTCCAGATGCAGAGTGTGAGAAGATAACTGCTGTGCTGCTAAAGTCACGAACCGGAGAATTTGATTTGGAATCCATACTGTTTCTTAAACTCAGGGGTCTTGGTAAGAATTAATATTCTACAGTTTAATCTATATATATTGATTTAGTTATTGTTTGTAATATTGTTTTTGCTTCATACCTTTAAGGTATACATGACCTCGGATGCATTGGCGAGTGTGTAAATTTGGAGAGGCTGGACCTATCAGGGAATATTATATCAAATCTTGGACCTCTAACGTCTCTTCGGCTTCTGTCTGTGCTTAATTTGTCGGCCAACAGAATCTGTAATATAGGTAGAGCAAAACTCCTTCATTTTAATTCCCTTTTTTTTAAACAGCATGTAAAAAATGATTGATATTCTTTGTTTTTGTTTGTTTTCCCAGAGCCACTTCGTAGCTGTGAAAATTTACAAAATTTGAATTTAGCCGGTAATTTTATTTCCAGGTATGTTTTGTAACAAATTTACCTATTAATATATGAAACTGTGCATTAATATTGTAAAAAAAGGAAACCCAAAATGACATTAAAGGCCGATTCTAATTGTTGATAAATCTTACTTGTTATAAATTGGATTTCTGCCATTATAGTAGTTTCAAAATGTCTGAAAACAGACATGATATTCCTTTATGACACATATTTACTGGATAAACTCAGAATTTGTTTCATTGTGATATGAAGACTATGTCATTTGTTTACATTGTGAGCTCTATGGGGAAGTAGATTGCAAAAAAAATGTATTTTGTGTTGTTTTTTAACAGCACTGAGAGCCTACATTGCCTTGTTCCTTTAAAAAAGCTAGAAAGCATACGTCTGAAGGACAACACATACAATTACAGTAACCCAGGTAATTTCTAAGAATTTTCTTTTGAGATTCCAGTAAATGGAAAACGGTGATTAATGTTTTTTATATCCCTCTGGTTTTACCAGTGTGCAGGAGCACTTCATACAGAACTGTTGTACTTGAGATGTTCCCTAACATCAAAGTGCTGGATGGTAAGATTGATTTATTTTCCCTTTATTCTTAAACCCAAATATGTTATTTTAATAATAATGTTAAATTTGTTGCTTTGTTTTGGCTGAGTATGTTTATTTGTTTACCATTACAGGAGAGAGAGTTGTTGGACGAGGAAGTGAATTGTACCAGTTATGCAAAGACATTGATGAGACTATAAAGGGTGGGGTTTTATTTCTCTGTGGAAAACATGCTTGTAGTTACCAACCAACATCAATGTTACATGGATATATCTTTGATTTGGTGTTTTTTTTTTTCTAATATATCTTTCTTCTCCGAATGATTAGCTGGTTCATACAAGAACGGGCAGCTTATTGAACATCCTGATTGCAAGCCGTGGGTAGAAGAAGGTTACTGGGAAATAAAGCGATCCAACAACGCCATTATTGAAGAAGCCTACAAACAGTTCAATGGTGAACAGTTCACTGTTATTCTATATATCATCTCTGCTAATTTATACTTTTGAATCTACAAGTGCATCTCAATAAGTCAGGGAAGCATCAAATAGTTTATTTAGAAATGGATCATGCTATTTTCAAGCAATCTCTTTTTCAGTTACTGTCTTGGAAATTAATTCAGTGAAAAAATGAATTCTAATTTATGAATATGTCAATTTACTTTTTTTCCTTCAGATGTTCTTCATGAATGCAGACTCCTGAACAACAGAGCCACTCATGTGATTTCCCAGACTGAGAGATCCATGAGCTTGAAAAAGCAGCCAAAGCAATATGCCATCTGAACAGGGCTATTTTGTACCGGTACACACCTTTGTGCAACGTTCAGCAGCCTTTGTTGCTTTTTAATGACGTATATGACAAATGTACTGTAGCTTTTAAATAGCCATGCTGTATCCAAATGCTTTAAAGATATCATTGCCTGACACACATGGCCCTGTGCCGCTGTGTGTGGACTTCGCTGTTACCATATCCATCCTATGCATTGAAAAATGCGTTGGTGATTGGAAAACCTTTACTCCTACTGCTACCCCTCAGTTTGTTTGAAAGGTGTCTTAACTTGCACAGTAAGCATTTTGTAAAACGCTGTAGCCTGAAATTATGCTGAAAGCTATGCTGCTTATAAGAATTTATTTGTCTTTATTTCCAGATAGTTTTTATGATGACGTTGTTAGTTTAAAGTGTAAATGTGTTCTGTACTGTGTTTTTTTTTCTGTTTATGCAAAGTTTGAATGATTGTTGTGGCTCTGACTG